GATTTTGAAGGGTTTGGGGCTAACCCTCAGGAGCCTAAGCCAGATGTGGAATCCATTGTGGCATTGGGGAAGTCCATGGGGTTGGAGGTTAGTGGCGAGGATGTGGGAGCGTTGGTGGAGGACGACAATGAAGAGCTAACCACTACAGAGCTGCAGGAGCTTCAGGTGCAACAGCAACAGATCACAGCTCAGGAATTTGCTTCAGAGGAGGAGGAAGAGAAATGGAGGAAGTTGCCTTCATCAAAGATTAAGGATATTTGTGCAAAGTGGATTGAAGTGCAAACCTTCATGGATGAACATTAACCTGACACAGCTGTTGCAAGCTGTATTGGCAACATGTACAATGACACTCTTGTGTTCCATTTTAGGGAAATCTTAAAGAGACGCTAGAAACAGAGCTCTCTGGACAGATATTCTGTGCGACAGGGGTCCAGTGACTCAAGCTGGTCCTAGTGGCATTAAAAAACAAAGAAGGGAGGTAACACCAGAAAAGGATTTGTTACCTGAAGTCTTTATGGAAGGGGATTTCCCTTCCAATCAATAGAACACCTTTATCCTCTCCCCACCTCCCATCTCATCACTCATCAACAAGTCCACAATAAAGGTGTCATTTCAGTATTGTTTACTGTGCATGTCTCACTGTTTTCTGTGTAAGGAAATGTATATTTCATGTAAAAAAAATTATTTTGTTTAATACTTTTGGGTGTCTGGAACAGATTAACTGGATTTCCAGTATTTCTTATGGGGAAAATTAATTCGGCTAAAGGCTAAATCGGTTAAAGGCTTGCTCTCTGGAACAGATTAATGGTGTTACCCGAGGGTCCACTGTATCATGTTTCTATGTTATTAATATTGTTTATTATGTCATATTATATGAATTGTGATGGATAAATAAACTGTGGAGTTGATATTAGCATTATTTTATCATGCCTTCTGAGAGGCTGGAATGGATAAATTGCATTTTAACCCTTTCAGGGTCCAAGGCCCAAATCTGGAGTCACGCACCAGTGTCCAAGAATTTTCAAAAAACAAAATTTGTTATTTTTTCTTATGAAATCGTAGAGAATCTTTTTGTGAAGGTAATAAAACAAAAAGTACGAAATTTGGTGGAAAATTGATGAAATTATGCTCTCGCGAATTTTGATGTGTCAGCGACATTTACGAATCAGCGATTTTGCCGACTTTGACTCCTATTTTAGGCCAATTACATTATTCCAATCAACCAAATTCTTAGCTATTTCACTAGTATTACTTCTATTCTATCGATTGAGCACAAGAAATCGCCAAGTCAACTGTTTCAACTACAAAATAAAGTGATCGGAAATTGTTAATTTGGCCAATTTAACACAAAGTTCAAAATATTCCAATTACAAAATAGGGTCCAGAATAAACAATGTAGGCATTCCTGGCACTAAACTAACGTTTCCTCTGTTCATTAGTTATGTTTTGAGGCTTTACAAATAAATTCCATTTTGATTTTTTATTCACATAATGAATTTTTATTCACACCAAAAAATAGAAGATTTACTGTTATGCAATACTGTAATAATTGTATAAATATCATCAACATATTTGTGAATGTATATTAGACCCACCAGCTGACGTGTATTAGACGTGTGAGGTCATTTGTTTACTCTTGAATATCGGCAAAAATTTAACATTTCCGCTACTTTGAGCTCAGTTTCAAGCCATTTCCAGTGCTAAAACCAATCAATATCATCTCTATTTCTGTAATATGTCTTCCATTCTATCAAATGAGACCAAGAAATCGCAAATACAACTATAAAAAACAAACGAAAAAACACTGCAAAGTTGCTGTTTTAATAAAGCACTCAGAATGGCTTGGAACTTGAAGCACAGAGCGATGAAGAAGACTATACCCATGTGGCTTGCTTGAGTACTGGGTTAGTCACCTGGGTTAGTTGCTGTCTGGCTTGGCTTAACCCTTCACACAGACTGGCTTGATAACTTGTAATGATGAGCACAGCAGGGGTGGAAAGCTGGCTTGGCAGGCAAGGCTGGATGGTATAAGACTGGCTGGACTGGGCTTGGGCTGACTCCCCCACCACAGACTGGCTTAGGTGGCTTGGCTTACTTTGCAAACCCGGGTCAACCCCTCGGAGGTAATGCAAATAGCAAATAAAACGCTAATACACAGGGACTGACCAGAAATGAAGCAATAGGCTGGTGAAAGCTTGCTTGGGGTAGGCCGGCCAACTGACCACACAAAATGTCCATCGTCGGCTGTGAGAATTTATCTCCGTGTATTGGCGTAATTATCAATTTTACGCCCACACCGCTGGCACCAATTGTCGTGGGGGTTCGAAAGGAGATATGATGGATGAAGATAAACACACTTGTGGATGGTAACACTATACGTGTATATTGTCAGACTGTGGTAAGGGAAGCCCAACCTGCCATGTGTAGACCTATGTGTGGACTGAGGAAGTTACAGAGGTACTCGCGCACACATGTGCATCACGTGACGTCACACAAACAGTCACTAGGCTTAGTCAGGGATCATATATATAAAACATATGGATGGTACTATGATAATCAGATAAGCTATACAACACATGTAAGGGGATCAGCAACTATGCTGACAGTACAGTGTACCATATGGTACACTGTAACATATGGTACACTGTAACATGTGATACCATGTACCATATGGCCAGTTGGAGATGTTGGTGCCACAAGGCACCAGCCAAGACTGAGTGAGTGGCGATGCAAGTCACTGACTCCACAGTTTCCAAGACAAAGCGCTTTGTCATCCACCTCAAGGAACATGTCGAGTGGCTGTACATTTGTAAATATGCAAAAGAACATTACTAATATACAACATTTTTGCATATTTTTGTTGTAAACAATTATTGTAAACAAAATAATGATGAAAATATTAGTGTGTTTATTGTGTTGAATACAACAGTACCATATAGTACCATATGGTACAATGTGCCATATGGTACAATGAACCATATGGTATTGTACCATATGGTACCATAAGGTACCATTGTACCAAATGGTGCCATTGTACCATATTCTACCATATGGTACCATTGTATCATATGATGCCATTGTACCATATAGTACCATTGCACCCTATTTCACCATTGTACCATATGGTACTATATATTACCATTGTATTCAACACAATAACTGCACTAATATTTTCATCATTTTGTTTACAATAAACTTGTAAACAAGTTTTGTAAGCAATATAATGATAAATTAGTGCAGTTATTGTGTTGAATACAATGAGCATACACTTATACAATATGCATTATATCGGTCTCACAGGCCACAAATGTTACTAGAAAAAGAAAAAATTAGAAAAGAAAAAGTATAAAAAAACATAAAATAAAAAAATGCGATTTTGCGGAAGTCGCTGATGTTGTCGCCACCCGGTCATTTTGGGTCAACTTCCCACCACTATCTCTGTAAGTACTGACAGAATTATTTTTTTTTGTTTTATTACCTTCACAAAAATGTTATCTTTAATTCTGTAAGATATTTTTTTTTTTTTTTTTTTTTTTTTTTTTTTTTTTTTTTTTTTTTTTTTTTTTTTTTTTTTTTTTTTTTTTTTTTTTTTTTTTTTTTTTTTTCAAAATTTCTTGGACACTAGAGCACCCCTTCAGATTTTGGCCTTGGACCCTGAAAGGGTTAAAAATGTCTTCCATCTTTATTTTTATTATTGGTTGGAAGAGAGAGGGTGAGGTAGTGAGATGAGGTAGGGAGACAATTCTTCATACATTTGGCTTCTACTGTAATTTTTATGTAGATGAATGGTTTAGAGAACCGACATGTTGATAATTAGACACATGTGCAACTCTTGGGTATCTTTATTGAGGAAACGTTTCGCCACACAGTGACTTCATCAGTCCATACAAAGGAGAATCTTGAAGAACAGGAGAAGAATGAGGTAATCAGTCCCTCAACCTTGAGTCAATGTGGTCAGTCCATCAATCTTGAATAGAATACGGCATACGTGCTGAGAAGGAGCTTATAAACCGTTGGCAGGAGAGGTGCAGCAGTCATAGGTCGTGTAACATTTGTTCAATGTTGAAGTAGGTCGTGCCCAAGAATTAGGCAAGCGAAGAATTTTTATTGTGAAATGTGCCAGGATAGGGAAATAAGGGTTATTAGGAGTCTCAGATGCCTTGTTAATTTTAATGCTTTTATTTTTTATATTCTATTTTCCTCTTACAAAGGTATAATCTCTCAGATTTATCACTTGCAAAACCAGAAATCCCTCAGTACTGTCATAACATGTAATTACAACATATCTTGCTGAGATTGATAATGAGTAGGGTGTGAATCTCATTAAAACTTTTGCTTTAGCATAAAAGTTGATTCTTGGACAAGGTCTTTTGAAATGGATTTGGCTGCATTGACATGAGAAGGTACCAATATCAGGCCTCTCATATTTATTACTCAAGTTAAATTTTTCTACAAAGCAATAGATTTTTAATCACCTTGTAAATACAGTGCTTTTATTCTTTGTTTATCCCTTTCATTTTGGGTAGGGGGTCATCCGCGAAAAGGTTGGAGGGAGAGGGTAAAGAAAGTTTTGTGGGTGAGGGGCTTAGACTTCCAGCAAGTGTGCGTGAGTGTGTTAGATAAGAATGAATGGAGACGAATGGTTTTTGGGACTTGATGAGTTGTTGGAGTGTGAGCAGGGTAATATTTTGTAAAGGGATTCATGGAAACTGGTTAGCTGGACTTGAGTCCTGAAAATGGGAAGTACAGTGCATGCACTTTAACCCTTAAACTGTCCAAACGTAGATCTATGTTCTTTCAACATTTGAAAGTATGTAAAAAAAGTAGATCTTTTTTTTTTTTACATTTGAAAAATTGTAAAAAAAACTTTGATCTATTTTTTTTTTTTTTTGAAAATATGTAAAAAAAAAGTTGATCTACTTTTGGAGCACTACGCATGTGAACGTAGATCTGCTTGGACAGTTTAAGGGATATTTGGGATATTGGCAGTTCAGAGGGATGTCTAAGCTGTCGTATCTGAGCGCCTCTGCAAAGACAGTGATTATGTATGAGTGATGAAAGTGTTTAGTGATGTTGAAAGCTTTTTCTTTCATTTTGGGTCACCCTGGCTCTGTGGGAAACAGTCAGCATGTTAAAAAAAAAAAAAAACAGAATTCTTGCTATACAGGAAACTAGATTTGTGATAGGGCATTACATTTTATCTAGTTCCTGAAAACTGGTAAACCCTGATAACTGGCCAGGTTTCATTGGTATGGGTGCCACATTTGAGAGCTTTTAGTGCACTTGTAATTGTTCATGTATATTTATCATTGAATTGGGTGGGAGCATTGATTATAGCAAGTTTTTCCAAAGATCTCTAATAATAGAATGCTTTTTACAGAAAACATTGGATACCTTAACACGGGTACTGGCTCGGCATGTGTATGGGTTAGAGCTCAATAATCTGCCTTTGGAGCGTGTGACGGAACGTCGTCTAATTAAGAGGGGAACAAAATTAACAGGCCTGGATGTAAGTGCGTGATGTTAGCTGCGGTAATAATTAATGTTTTATGTGCAGTTTCTTCACTTCTGTTATACCCACTCAAAAACTGAGAGTTGATTCTTGTTTTAAGAGAGAAGTATTATGGATTTATGTGAAGATTTATTTTTCATTATGAGAGCCTTGTAGCACACTTGCATTACTTTCAAGAGTGTAGTAAATGTAATGAACATGAAAAGCTAGCATGAATTTTCCAAAATGATGAAGATTTTGCTTAATGTGTACTTTTTTAATTGGTGATGCACCATATGTAAAAGAAAAATTTAAGTATAGAATTTTTTGGTGTTTTATTACATTTGCATCAATCATCTCAGTACAGTGTAATCTTGGAAAATATGTAAATAATGAGTAAATATATATAGTACCATATACAGTACTGCATTTATTGATTTTTACAATATCCATTTAATTTGCTGATGTCATTAATTATATTTCTTTTGGGCCCCTAGTCAGTAAGAAGCAGTTTTGCTCGAAGTTGGAGCAGTGTACGAATGGAACGCCAGGTCAATGCTCCAGATGGCAACAATGTTGGCCCTCCTACACTGACACACCTACAGGAGGAAGCACAAGGAGACAACGTGAGCACACAAGGTTAGCATCTTAACCTGGATCATCTCTTTGTTAATTATGATCATTAGGAAGATCCTTTATCAGAATGCTAAGTGTAGATGTTAAGGTGTATAACAGGCTTTTGACACAGGTGGGAAAGCACAATGGAATGGTTGGTATTAATATTGGAATGTCAGTGTGTAGAGCTTAGTTTTGTCACAAATGATAATTTAAAATTCCATAAAACATACATGTACAAACACATGTTAATTTTACAAAAAATGCATGAATCTAAGTTATCCTCTAGAAAGATTTTAGGATTTTGTTACATAAGGTTTAATTGTATAACATGTGTAAAATGGCACATTTAATAAAAGGTGGCAAAAAACTCTTGGAACTATTGGCTGTCTTTAATGACAAGCATTGTTAGTAAAATACTAGAAAAAACTATCAGAGAAAAGCATATAAAACATTTAGAGAGCCAGGGGCATTGTAAGGGGGGAGGCGGGCTGCCCCGGGTGACACCATTTAACCCTATGACTGTTGTAAGCCCCTTTCTGAAACTGTCATTCTATGTTGCAAAATTTTTGGAAAAAAAAAATTATTTTTTCTTATGAAATGATAGAGAAACTTTTCCCAATGGTAATGACACCAAAAGTACGAAATTTGGTCACAAACTCATGGAATTACGATCCCACGGAGTTAGCTGTCTCGGCGACATATACGCATCAGCGATTTTGCCGGCTTTGAGCCCTGTTTTTGGCCAGTTCCGTTGTTCCAGTTGACCAAACTCATAGCTATTTCTTTAGAACTCCATTTTTTCTATCAGTTGAGTACAAGAAACCGCCCATTTATCGATTTGAACTACCCAATAAAATGGTCAGAAATTGGCTATTTGGCCAATTTCATGCAATTTAAAAAAAATGCCAGTTTCAAAATTGGGTCCAGAATAAACAATGTAGACATTCTTGGCACTAAAATAACATATCCTCTGTTCATTACTCACATCTCTAGGCCCCTCTTATATTTCTATTGCTTTCTATTTTGATTTTTTATTCATACAAAAAATACAAAATTTACTGTTATGCAGACTAATGCATTATTGTAAAAATGGTATAAATAATATCAGTGCACTAGTGAAAGAATACATTAGACTCCCCAGTTGACGTGTATTGGACGTGTGGTGTGATTTGCTTACTCCTGAACATGGGTAAAAATCGAACATTTCCGCTACTTTGAGCTCAATTTCAAGGTCGTTTTCATCGTGAAACTAATCAAAATCGTCTCTATTTCTGTAATATGTTTTCCATTTTATCACGTGAGACCATGAAAACGAGAATGCAACGATAAATACTATGCAAAAATACACCTCAAAGTTGGCGTTTTAATCCAAAAAAAAAAATGGTCAAAGTTATTTTTTTTTCTCATGCACTGTGCGCTGCAGGATTTTTTTTATGTGGTGCACACTGACCACACAGACCCATTGTCTCACATGTGGGCCTACCAGCTTTCTCCTGCTTGATTTGAAGCCGCTAGAATTTACGTGTATTAATACGTCCAAAACAGTGGCACATAAGACGTATATATACAACCAAAACAGTCAAAGGGTTAAGGGGTGACACCATAGAGCCTCTAAAGAAGGTAACACTAATGACCAAAACCATGCTGCAGCAACCTAAGAGAAAAATCCTTCGTTTCTATATAGCCTATTATAGGATTACAGGGTACAAATAGGCCTATATAGGACAAATCATTGATTTTGATGTTGTGATAGATGATTTTTGAAGGCACAGAAATGAAATAGATTCTTTGAGATGTTGCCTGTACTCAAGGTTAAATCGGAACTAGTGTTTTTCCTTTATTTTTCAGTTTTTTTTTTTTGTTCATTGTTGAAGATGAATAAATATATATGTTGGTAGAATTACCGACAATATGTAAAGTAAAAGGACACAAGTGCAGCTAATGTGACGTTTTATTGTGGCAACATTTCGCTCTCCAGGAGCTTTGCAAGCCGTAACGGCTTGACAAAACTTTTCTAGAGCGAAACGTTGCCACAATAAAATGTTATATTAGTTGCACTTGTGTCCTTTTACTTTACAAGATGAATAAATGTAGAATCTGTTGCCTATACTCAAAGTGGTATTTGAGTTTATATTTCCTCAATATTACCACGATTATTTATTTTATCATTAATAAAGTTCGGTTTATGGCCTTTGTTACATTGGTTTGTCCCTTATTACTTTGATAGTAAGGTTCTCACTACATGTTCTATTGTGGGGTAGCTTTTTACTTAATGGCCTTATCTGTCTAGGGGTAATACTTACATCATGGCTGATCATCTTGAGTGTCTGATATCCTCTCACCAGCCCTCTTCACAGGTTATGTAAACTACTACTATAAAAATATAACTGTATTCTCAATAGATATGTACAGAATATACAATTACAGCCTCACATTTTCAAAACAAAGATCTACACACTCCATAGCTGTTCTCCACATGGTGTATCCCAACAATTTTGTCCTCTCTTCTTGATTAACTCTGGACTAACCAGTGTTTTGACACACTTTAGTCACCCTGGGTATGGTGGCCACAACTTAAGTTATAAAAACTCACCCCTGGAGCACACATAATGCCCCAAAAGATAGAAAGAAGGACCCAGAGATCTTGCCACCTCCATGTCAACAAGAGAAGAGAGAGAGAGACAAGGGGAGAGGGAGGAGCCTAGCTAAACTCCTCCCACCAAAACAAAAGACTGTTGCCAAGCACAGTTCTCTTGTTACCACAATTCTACTATACCTTATTTTACTGTTACAAAAGAAATACAACTTTATAAACTACTTGTTTAAATTGTATGTTTGTGTGTCTATAGTATAACCTATTATACAGTGGACCCCCGCATAACGATATTAATCCGTTCCTGAGAGCTCATTGTTTTGCGAAATTATCGTTATGCGAATGAATTTTCCCCATAAGAAATAATGGAAATCAAATTAATCCGTGCAAGACACCCAAAAGTATGAAAAAAAAAATTTTACCACATGAAATATACATTTTCCTACACACAAAGAGAAGGATACATGCACAATATATATTGTGCATGTACTACTCTACTAAATGAAGAATAAATGACACTTACCTTTATTGAAGATGCAGCAATGACTGATGAGACACTGTGTCCTGGGAGTGCCTTTTCCTCCTGAGTACTGTAGGTCCTGTTTGGCATTTTCTTCCAGAACAGGCCTTATCACACTGTGTATGCCACTACGATTCTTAAATCTCTCAAACCAACCTCTGCTGGCTTTAATTTCACCAATACGAGCACTAGTTCCAGGCATTTTTCCCTGTTCACCTGGGTGTTAGTCGACTGGTGTGAGTTGCATCCTGGGAGACAAGATTAAGGACCCCAATGGAAATTAGTTAGTCTTCGATGACACTGACTTTTTTGGGTTATCCTGGGTGGCTAACCCTCTGGGGTTAATTGTTTCTTGGTATTCTCAATAAGCCACACCAGCAACGGTGGTACAGCAGCAGCAGCTGACAGTGCTACAGCAGCAGCAGCTGACAGTGCTACAGCAGCAGCTGACAGTGCTACAGCAGCAGCAGACGGTGCTACAGCAGCAGCAGACGGTACTACAGCAGCAGCAGCAGCTGATGCTGGTACAGCAGCAGCTGACAGTGCTACAGCAACAGCAGACGGTGCTACAGCAGCAGCAGACGGTACCACAACAGCAGCAGCAGCTGACAGTGGTACAGCAGCAGCAGCAGCTGACGGTGCTACAGCAGCAGCAGACGGTGCTACAGCAGCAGCAGATGGTACTACAGCAGCAGCAGCAGCTGATGGTGGTACAGCAGCAGCAGCAGCTGATGGTGCTACAGCAGCAGCAGCAGCTGACAGTGCTACAGCAGCAGCAGACGGTGCTACAGCAGCAGCAGACGATACTACAGCAGCAGCAGCAGCTGATGGTGGTACAGCAGCAGCAGCAGCAGCAGCTGACAGTGCTACAGCAGCAGCAGCAGCATTAGCAGTTGACCATGGTACTACAGTATTTCGATAATATTTCTCACCCTTTTTACCACAGGGTTAGCACTAGAAGTTTTCTTGGGGCCCATGGTCACTTATTTTGCAGATAAAATCACCAAAAATGCTGTAATAATACGAAATGTTCTGATTGTATGCTTGGATGTTACCGTGGAGGCTGGCTTGTAAACAATGCCACCGGCGGAACATGTGAGGCTGGCTCAGGCCGCATATTAGACGCGTCTCGGATGAATAGCGTTGAGCGGGTTTTTTAGCAGTATGCGAGGCAAAATCTTAGCGATAAAATGTATCGGTATGCGGATTTAACGTTATGTGATGCCAACGGTATGCGGGGGTCCACTGTATTGAGAAAAAAGGCTTGACCCAGCTGCCTCTCAGTCATAAGAGTGATCAGCCCTTATGACATTTAGAGCAAAGTCCCCATCAATTCAATATAATTAGGTATTCCAGAGTAACTGTTACTTATAAATACATGTTGGGTCCTATAGCCCCATAACACCCCCACCTCCAGACGAAGTCTCACAAAAGCTAGCCGTGTCCCTCAGGATACGGCTAGTAAAAGGTATATTGCTTAACCCTTTGACTGTCGCAACCCCCAATCCTGAGGTGTCTCCTGGTGTCGCAAACTTTAACCCTTTGACTGTCGAAGGGCCCAATCCTGAAGTGTCTCCTGGTGTCGCAAAATATTTGAAAAAAAAAAATTATTTTTTCTTATGAAAATGTTAAGATTATTTTTCTGATTGTTTTAGTCCCCCCCAAAAAAAATTCCCATCAGTACTTACCGAGATATAGAGGCATGAAGTTTGCAGAAAATGAGCCGCGTATGGCAACAGCGGCGACTGCCGCTCACCCGTAAACTTTAGTTTACTTGTATTTGAAGGTTTGTTGTTTTTTTCACTATTTTATTTTTTCACATAACTTATGTGGCCTGTGAGACCAAAGTAAGGTGCAATGTACATATATACACTCGTTGTATACAACACAATAAGCACACAAACATAA